ATGTGAAATCGCATATTTTATGTGCTATAAGGTGAATTATGCGGATATTATGCCGGATCATAATCCTGGACACTCTATTTCCGGTAGACTTTGTCACCGGGTAATTGTTGTGATCTACAAAAACGTGATTTTCTCTCAAGATAATTATTAAACTGTAAATGAATTCAAATGCTGATTGGTTGAAGATGAAGTTCAAGTATAATCTCATGTGAACAACACTTTTAGCTCTTACCCAATCATAATTGAAGAATCCGCAATGCTCTAGTACACGCTTTCACGCTTTTTACGCGTCTTTATTATCGTTTGATTGTCGTTATACTTTTTCAACGCTTCAAGTCCTTCAAGTCCTTCAAGTCCAAATGGTAGTGTTAAAATTTATTGTGCTTTTTAATATAAATTATATATATATGAATGATACAATACGTGTATCTTATTTTTGAACGAAATATATATAATAAGGCTGAACGAAAACGTGCAAGAGAAGTTAGCCCCGATCCAGCTTCGACTCCTCCATCGGAAACCCCTCCCTTGCTATCGCCTCCCAGAGCAGGAGACCAAGAAAATATCGATTCTGAAGATTATGCTTTCTTGGATGAGGAGGAAATAATTAAAGACGATGCTTCCGAAGAAGACACGGATCCTGAGGGTGAAAACCTATTTGATGGAGATATAATGGAAAGGTAATTTTTATCAAATCTAATGCTTCTTATAAATTTAGTTGAATCATAAACTTATATAATTGTATTTAGAGATTATCAACCAAATTCTCAGCTTGATAACTATGATACAGAAGATTTAGATGAAGATTACCATGAACCTATGTCCTTTGAGGCTCGCAGACGCACCGAGATGGTTATGGATCAATTAAGGGATGCACAAGGAGAGCAATTACATGGTTAGATCATAAAGTTATTATAATATCAATTAAGATTTAGTAAGCATTTTACTTACCTGGTTCTTTTGTAATAGAGGATGTGTTTACTAGACCAAGGAATAGACGTCGTCGACGTGTTCATAATGAATTTCAGGAAATGGAAACCAGATTAGTAGTGGAAGAGGAGGTCGTTATTATATTTATATTTATATTTATATCCTGTGCAAGTATTATTCTTAACAATACTATGCTTTTTTCCACTTTAGCACATGAACCTTGAAGGGATATCGATTATAAAGGCCTCGTCTATAACTGAGTGGATCAAGATACCAACTGTAAGAAGTGGTATTTATCATCAATTCAGTAATTTTTTAAGAACTTATGTAGAGAATGGGAAATCTATATACGGACCTCGTATTGAAGAACTCACAAAAGGTATGAAATGTTGCATTATTTTTTATTATTGTTTTTTGAATTATAATATATAAAGACAGTAATAAATGAAACATTTTACTTTGAATCAGACCAACTTCAAAGTTTAAAAGTAGACTATAATCATTTAAAAAATAGCAAAGAAATTTTGGCATTCTTCCTCAAAGAATCTCCCAGCGAGATGCTCAATATTTTTGATGAATCTGCATATGACTTTATTGTGGAAATTCATCGTGGATATAAAAAACTTGGTAAAGAAGTACGTGTGCGTATAACTGACTTTCCTGTTATTCACAATATCAGAGAGCTAAGGTTGGTATTATTGCACATTTTATTTGCTTCATGAGATTAGTTTATGTAATAAAGAGCTATTATATCATTGCGTACAGACAAACACATCTAAATAGCTTAATACGAGTGTCAGGTATAATTACAAGACGAACCGGAGTGTTTCCTCAGCTTAAATACGTTAAATATAATTGCGCAAAATGTGGAGGCCTTCTTGGGCCATACACTCAAGATATTCAGAATGAAATAAAATTAAATCATTGTATACATTGTCAATCCAAGGGTCCTTTCATTTTAAATACCGAACAGGTGCAAGTCGTTTTATTGCTAGTTGAGTTTTGTATTCTCGAATTATATTAATATTAATATTAGCATTAATATCTTTTTTAAAAAAAAATGTTATCATAGACTGTGTATAGCGATTATCAAAAAATTACGCTTCAAGAAAGTCCTGGTACAGTACCGGCAGGGCGTTTACCTCGGCATCGTGAGGTTATTTTGCTTGGCGAACTGATTGACTCAGCAAAGCCTGGTGAAGAAATTGTAAGTTATATCACATGCTTAATGTATGCCTTTGGTAAATTACAGACTTTTTACTTTTTTTTTTGACATTTAAACATAGGAAGTTACTGGTGTTTATCGAAATAATTTTGACGTATCATTAAATATGAAAAACGGATTTCCAGTATTTGCGACAGTCATAGAAGCAAATTATATTAGCAAGAAGAAAGATTTATTTGCCAGTTACCAATTAACTGAAGATGATAAAAAAATTATCCAAGAACTAGCTGCAGATGACAGAATTAGCCAAAAAGTAAGTTAACTTTTACAACTATTATCTGCTAATTTTTGTATCCATATATCCATTCAATTTTTACCTTTGTAAACAGATTTTCAAGAGCATTGCACCTTCAATATTCGGTCACGATGATATCAAGAGGGCAATAGCTTTGTCATTATTTGGTGGTGTGCCGAAAAATATCCAAGATAAACATCGACTGCGTGGCGATATTAACATTCTTATGCTTGGCGATCCCGGAACAGCTAAATCTCAGTTTTTAAAGTACGTAGAAAAAACCGCTCATCGAGCTGTTTTTACCACGGGTCAAGGAGCGTCTGCAGTTGGTCTTACTGCATCTGTTAGAAAGGATCCTATTACAAGAGAATGGACCTTGGAAGCAGGTGCTTTGGTTCTTGCTGATAAGGGCGTTTGTTTAATCGACGAATTTGATAAGATGAATGATGCTGACAGGTTAGGATCCCCAAAATGGTCTTTAAATTAGTTATAATATAAAATTAACCATTTAAAATATCAGAACAAGTATCCATGAAGCCATGGAGCAACAAACTATCTCCATTTCTAAAGCTGGAATAAATGCTTCTCTCAACGCGAGATGCGCTGTCATCGCCGCTGCGAATCCTATAAGGGGTCGATACAACACTTCTATACCATTTTCACAAAATGTTGATTTAACAGAGCCTATTTTGTCTCGTTTCGACGTTCTTTGTGTTGTCAAAGATACAGTTGATCCTACCACAGATGAAACACTTGCAAATTTTGTGGTCGATAGTCATATTCGTAGTCATCCAAGTGAACAAAATAACGTAGATAATTTATCTCCACAAGACCCAAACGTATGCATATTTCTAATTCACTAATTAACATAATAATATTAATAATAGTTACAATAATACGTACATTGTTATATAGACTATTCCTCAGGACCTTTTGCGAAAATATATTATATATGCAAAACAAATAACACCGCAGCTTACACATCTTGATGAAGCAATGATTTCAGAGTTATACTCGAACCTAAGGAAAGAGGTCTGTATAACATTTTAGATTGTTTCCGTGTATACGTTTCATTGAATTTAATGAGGTCACATTAATTTGCTGCAGGCTCAGACAGGTGGTATTCCAATAACGGTTCGTTATCTAGAGTCAATGCTGCGTTTAACTGAAGCACACGCGAGGTAACGAGGTCATTTCGTTTTGAACCTTATTTATATTTTTTTGTTTATTACATATGTGGTTCTATCCTATTATAGAATGCACCTTCGGGATCAAACCAATTCAGATGATCTGAAAGTTGCAATAGATATAGTGTTGCAAAGTTTCTTTTCCTCTCAAAAATTCTCAATCGCAAGCAAACTTAAGAAGGTAATATTTTATTTAAATGTTAATTAAGGTTCTAGCATTAATCATATTATTTCTTTTTAGTGTTTTGCGCGATATATTAATAGGGCATAGTGTTTGTAATCGATTTGCATTACGTAGTCGATTTTATCGACTTAGCCAGCTTAGTCAGCTGATTTTTCAAAAAATCTATTAAAAATTATGGCAACCAATCAAATTTGTTAAAAAAAATCCATGTTTGTTTTATATATCGGAATGGAATCTTGCTAGATTTAGAATTAACATAAGCTGGTTCCAAATACACTTAAGATGAAACGAACTTCAAATTAGTAAAGAAATTCGAACTAACAAAATTAATTCCGAATCCATTCAAATTTAAACAGTAAAAGTGCCAAGCTATTTATCACATACCCACGCTAGATAGTTTTAAATATATATATTTGGCATTTCTGGTCATATATTTAGTTACACTAAATACTACAACTCGGGGCAATCACCAAAATTTTTGGTCGGAATACACCGGAACCCTGGTCGGATGATCCGGAATTGATCGATTTTTACTATGAACTTCGCATGCTTAGATAAACAATATCACCCTGGTTTATTATTGGCTAGCCAACCTTCGTAGTGTAAGCTAGCGAGTAGTGATTTAAACCAACTATGGAACCTATGTAATTATACCACAAAAAATTTTCCGGTCACATGACTTTATCGTGGCGCAAACCAATTGAATTTCAGGA